GAGTATTAAGCTGCAATTGCTTTGTGGCTACACCTATACCAAGTGTGTTTAGTGTGTGTGTGTGTGTTTTATTGGACAGTACCCACAACAATATTGAAATAATTATCACATTTTGCACAAATCTGCAATCATCTTGTCAGAGATGAGAAAAGCTATGGCCAGGGCTAAAACAAAATACATGTGATCAGACAGAAACCCCCAGAGGACAATATGACTTAATAAACCTTAAGGAATGAACCACAAATAAAACTTAAGGATTGATTGATAAATACATCTCTTTGACATATGAGCTAATTCTCCCTTCAGGCTCTCTTCTGTCCTGGGTCCCTCATGTCCGCTCTCTAAAAAGAAAGTGATGATTCTATCTATTTTAAAGTGGTTGTGATTCTCATATGAGTGGGTCTATTTTGAGCAACGGTTTTAACAGCATTATCTGTTGTTTTCCTTTTGAGAAGACAGCGGCGCTGGCGACTGTTCAGCCTTTCCCTCAACTCTCCCTCTGTTCTTTGTTTTCGCTGTCAGCTTTAGAAACTTTTTATAGACCCGACAGAAGTATTAAAAGGAAAGTTGATCATTTTTTAGATAAGATGGTTTAAGTTACTTTTGGTAGAGGTATCAGTGTTTGTGCTTCAGCTCGGGGTTTGGATCCTGTGGTCAGAGATTTAAAAAATATTGAATGATCAGTTTTTCAAAGTAGGATTCCTGAATTATGATTAATTTAGATACTAATATGAGAATGGATTAAGGGAGCAAACACTGCTTCCATTTATGTAACACACTTAACCATTTATTGAATTAGGGAACAAATGGTTGATGAGGTCATATTTTGGGAGCACACTCACATGTTTGATATCCGTTTTGAGTTAAGGTTATAGTCACATATCAAACTAAATGTTTGGTCTCCATATTGAGTAATAGTGATTCAGTGTATTCTGTAACGTGTTCTGCTTCTTTATATGGTAGTTTTTAATGTTACTGTCAGAGTACGCCATTCCCATGTAGCAATGGAGTTGTGTACCTGCACACGAAGGATTTACATGAGTGCATGATTTTATGCATTCCTTTATACAGCTACAGCCAGTAGCAGCTTAGCTTAGCGTAACTTAGCTTAGGCAAAAGACTGGACACTGCTAGCATGGCTCTGTCCAAAGGTCCTCCTAATAAAAATAAATCCTCCTACCAGAACCTCTAAAGCCTTGTCATTGCCATGAGGTTGCTAGGCAACAATCTAAGGTGTGTAAGTTATTCTTCTTCTGGCGATTTTTGCAATGAAAAAGCAGCTTCAGGTGCATTACCACCACCCGGTATTTGAAGTATCTGAACAAGCATTTGATACTTGATGCATTTTGGGACAGCCAAGCTTATTTAACTTGTTTTTATGTATATACATATATATTTTGGGCTGCTGCAGCAAGGAGTCAAGAATGACTTTATGACCCCACTGGAACCCCCCTCTCTCCCTCTCTCCCTCTCCCCCTCTCTCTCTCTCTCAGCAGTACTGTACATGCCTGCAGTCACTCGGTTGATTTCATGGCTTTTAACCAAACACAAAGACTCCATTATGGCTCTGTTCGTCGAAATAAACTCTTTCTCTCTTTCCTTCACTCCTCTCGTCGTCTTCTTCCTCTTCCTCCTCGCACTCTTCCTCCTCCTCTTCACATTCACACTTTCACCCACATCTCTGGAGATTGAATATAAAGCCACATTTTCCATTTCACCTTCTCATTCTGATATTGGAGTTGGGAAAGAAGAATGAGAAGAAAGGCAAGGAATGGAGGTAGGAAGGCGTGTGCGTGTGTGTGTGTGTGTGTGTGTGTGTCATTATTAGCCCAGTAATTAGGCCTTGTCGCCTGTTGTCTCCCCCTCTTGTTCGCCCTTTGAAGTCTTCTCCTCTGGACTACCCACAATGCACTTGGGAAGCATTCAGGAGGGGGCAGAGGAGTGATGGAGTGGGTGTATTGTCAGGAATGTGGGTCAAAATGCGTGTGTGTGAGTGTGTGAGAGAGAATTTCTGGAGATGCTGATGATGAAAAAGAGAGTTGGGGGGATCTCAGTTCTTCCTCTGTGTCTCTCTGTCAGTCTGGCAGATTGCTTGTGCCGCTTTTCATGTTGGATTCCCCACACACACACACACACACACACACACACACACACACACACACACACACACACACACACACACACACATCACTCATATTTGCCAGATGCTGTACTCTCAATACACACTCACAGATACATACACACACTCACACACACGTCACATGAGTCTCTTTGTTTTGCTTTGCTGCGGAGATAAAACCCAGCTCTGTTACACTCCTCTACAAGGGAGACAAAGAGCGCTTATCTCACATACAGTGACTGTGTGTGTGTGTGTGTGTGTGTGTGTGTGTGCTCAAGAGGGGGAGGATGTGTGTGTATGTGTTTGTGTGAGAGTGTTTCTCCAATGCAGTCATTTTATTTTTGCGTTTGCGATTTTTACGAGCTGTATTTTCAGCCTCATTAACTGGAACTTTACTTCCCTTTTTCCCATTACCAGACTGTCTGATGGCTTTTTGTCTGCATGTGTGAATGGCATCATGAGATCTGCATGCCGATAGGGCCGCCAGGGCCAGCATGACACACTTCCCCTTCAGAAGTTGGCTAATCACACACAGGTTACTACTAGACTTTGTAGCTGGAAAATGTTTGAAGAAATGCTGAATTTTTAAAATAGATTAATAATTTAAGGGAACTGCCATAACAGAAATTCCATCTACTAAATGTGAATTTAATCATAATTTCTGTTTTTTCTTGAGGCTGTCAGAGGTGTTGATCCAGCTTAGTGGTGAATTCAGAGGCCATAGTTTTAGTGTGTAGTAGTTGATCATTGTTGTTTTTTCTGTTTTCCTGTGTTTGTTCTAATGATTTTTGTGTATTTTTCTTCTGTTACAGTAGAAAGAGAATTAAAACTCAAGTAGAAGTACTATTACTTGGGTAAAATGATGGTATACTGTAAAATCTGTTATAGAATATATATATATATATATATATATATATATTTAAAAGGCTGCCCCACCAATGTAGCATTGCACTCCTAACATTAATAGATAAAAAGTATCAAAATCGCAGAAGAGAGATATCTCGTCTTTTTTATTTCACTCATTCTTCTCCCTTATCCAAACCTGCTACCTACATTACCCACATTGCAGCTTGAGCACCTACAGTTCAGTCGGATATTCAGGTGGGTTATGCTAGCAGCGGCCAATGCAGCCTTGAGACGTCAGCCTCAAGCAGTTGATGAAGAGCAGGTTACAGAGGTCTAGCTTTCTTTTTTTAAACGTGTAGTCTTCAGACCCAACCAATCAGATTGTGTGCTGCTCCCTCTCACACCACAAAAGCTATATCACATAACTTTTGTCACATGTGCAGTAGGTCTCCCCAAGACTTGTAGACAGACTTTTATGTGTAAAATCAAAAGCTCCCCTTTAATTGACTGCATTAGCCAAATCATTTGTTTGGTTTAAAGTCCAAAAAAATGTTCTGTGTTTTATAAATATCTGATATGAATTTACATGTTAAGCAAAAGAGGATTTTATCCAAATCACCCATCCATCACCTTCACCTAAACTGCTAAATAAAAGTATGTTGACAAAATGATCTCAACTAAATGTCTAATTACTTGCTTATTCCAGAGCTTTCAATGATATCATACAGTCTTCATTGGCAGATGGAATCTTCTCGTCTCAGTTGATTCTTGGCCTTGGAAACTAACAGCAGTTTTTTGTGGCTTCAATAAACTGCGACTGCAGTCGTTAACTTTTTTGAAACCTTTTTGAACGCCACATACAAGCTGCTGTAGTCCTTAACAGACAATCTGAAGAACCCTATTAAAAATGATATTCCTACAGTGCAATTAATATTTATGAAATGAAATCTTTTAATTAATAAATTCTACTTCTAGTCGCCTGTTGGGCTTTAATTAGACCAACTGCAACCAGCTGAGAGGAAATTCAGGTCATGTCCCCGCACATGCACACACACAAACCTGCAAGCGTTTGTTCCTCAAATGCGGGTGTTGTCGTGTACAGGACCCATTGAACAGGTTGTGGCTGTGTTCTGGTGTGAGATTGCGGTCACACGCCACGTCCCAACACTGATCGACGAAGTAATTCTCGCCACGCAGTGTCACGAATGACAAATTGCTGAAGGGGTGTTCAAGAGTGTGTGTCAATGTGTGTGCAGACAGGCAGATGGTGTCTCATGAGTATGAGGGGAGCTAACGACCTTGAGAGAGAGCGAAAGAGAGAAAGAACGAGAGAGCGAGAGATGGTGACAGCAGGGGTCAGTTTGTTTTGCGCTGAGGGTCGGGCGGGATGGGCGGGGCATTTCTGCCGCTGCTTCCTCCCCGCATTTCCTCCACTCACCCAGCGTGCCCGTTCTCCTCTCTCTCTCTCTCTCTCTCTCACTCACACACACACACACACACACACACACACACACACACACACACACTTGCATGGGGCGTTAACACAGCAACACAATGAGCAGGGACTGGCTTGAGGCAGCTTGAGCAAGGTGTTTCCTGTGACCTGGACGACTGCTGCGTCAACACAAACACACTCGTCTGAAACAACACTAGCATGAGTTTGCAGACCTGATTTGACTCTCTCCCCCTTCAATTCAATTAGAGCTCATTAATTTCTCCCTGTACAAATGTGTGAATGTGTGTGTAAGTGAAAACGCCTGTATTCAAGTCTGTGATATTCATCCTTTATTCATGCTTTGTTCATGCTTTATTCATGGGTGTTCAAGCATTTGCAGAGTGAATGAATATTGGATTAAAAGCAGATTTACGTTATTCATGAGCTGAGATATTTTGGATTGTACGGAGGCTTCTGGAATCCCTCATGCTGAGCACAGTATTAAAAAAGTCTTCAGGATATTGTGCTCATTTGTCTGCTTGTGTATCAGTCAACTCCTGCTGAATGAATGTTGACTGTGTGTTCCTGTGTGTCCAACAGGCTGTGCACTGCCCTGCTATGGAGAAGATGAAGAGGATTAAGAAGCGTCTGTCGTTAACACTCCGCTCCAGTCAGACCATCGACGAGTCTCTGTCTGAACTGGCCGAGCAGATGACCATCGAGGATGGCGGCACCAAGGACAATGGTAAGAATTCTGCATGTTATTATTTATATTTTTACTAAGGGACTCTGGTGTGCAGCTTATTTGTATTTTTTCCCCCATTTGTTCTTTAACTAGAACTGCTGTTATTGTAAGGACGTAATTTACTGTTAACTACTTCATACTATCATCCTGTTCTTTCTTTCAGCAGAAAACACAAACTTTTACGTGTATGCAGACATAAAATGTAGTTGAGCATTTGAAACTGATCTGCTTTTCTTAAAGAAATACTTTTTATAAAACAGCTTCAGTTTTGAGTAAAATCATGCTGGAAAAAGCATGAAACCAGTTCTAGAAAATCAGTGCCACAGTCCAACCAGGGAAGGAAATTCCACTGGTAGGATTTTTACAAGATCTTCCTGTACTTGTCCGTCAGCAGGCATGCAAAAAAACAACACACACACACACACACACACACACACACACACACACACACACACACACACACACACAGAGAGAGCTTTCAGTATCTAGGTAGCTCTCAGGGGTATTTAAATTATGAAGCACTGAAGTTGATGAAGAGTGTACAGTGAGCGTCAGTAACAGCTGTAATGGACTTCCAGTGAGTAGCTCTCTATTAAGTTATGTAACAGGAGTAACAGCAAGGGAGCTACTTGAACACACGCGCACACACGCACCACACACACACACACACACACACACACACACACACACACACACACACACACACACACACACACAGGTAGTATATAGGAAAGAGCATTCACACAAAAACGCACTTTCCTTGACATCTATTTGTTATATAACATTCTTCGTGTTTCAGCACCGCAGTACGTCCGGTCTGTCTGTCTGGAGTTTGTCTCCAATAAGCTGCTTGTGTGATCGACACATGAAAAAGATTGGCTGACACTTGTGATTGACAGCTGCCAGAATAAATGGACGCACACATCCATCTTTTACAGAACGTTTCCCATTGCAGTTATTTGGCTCCACGGTCGCTCCACATCCAGAAAGACTTCCCATAAATATAGCAGTAGAAAAAGCCTCAGTTCAACATTAGTAGCCAGCAGTAATAGAGTTCAGTGGTCAGAACCATCCTTGTCTCAAAAATAATAATGGTGCCAGAGCAATCCACATGAAGAAAAGAAGGCAAGGGAAATATGTAATCTATGTCATCAAAGCCACAGCTCTCCATTCTAATTCATTTGATGTTAATACTACTCAGCTTTGTGTGTCCATTATAATGGAGCTACAGCCTGCAGCTTGTTAGCTTAGCTTAGCTTAGCTTAGCTTAGCTTAGCAATGATGAGTAAGAGTAGAGCAAGTACAGCTGATGTTAGGTTGATTTTGTTACCTTTGGACATACACAGGCTAGCTGTTTGCCCCTGCCCCCTTCTTTGTGCTAAGCTATGCTGCTGGCTGTAGCTTCATATTCAGCATTTAGACAGAGTGGTATAGATTTTCTCATCTAACTTTTGGCAAGAAAGCAAATAATAAATGGGAAATATTGTATTTTAATGTCAGTTGCTAAAAAGTTTTCCATACTCTGCTCATAAAAATGTTGAAAATACCAACTAGCCCTGACATTTGTACCTCCTTGTATATCATTCATGCATGCTCAACTTGTAATTGTAATTCTGATATGTCTTCAGGTATATATTTATATCATTTTTATTATATCACCTGAAGGCAGCATAATGTTAATTATGGAGTGTGCAGACACAGCACAGCCTGTCAGATCACAGTTTAAAAGGTCAGATGAGTTTAGGGAACTTGGCAGGGGTAAAAACTTTAACCTACGAGATGCCACAGACTCATGGCCTGTCTAATGCAGATCACTATGGGATGCTTTATGGCCTTTTTGTACGAGTGTAGCTGAAATTGGATTGCTAATTTAGGCCCATGAATGAGACTCATGTCTTGCTTAATGGTAAAGTAACATAATTGCCCTTTGGCTACCAGTTCTTCAGTGCTACAACCATTTTCCTCTTCTTTTCATAACTTTTGAGAATATTTGTATTACATTCCTCCATAATTTAGCCTCATGTTTGGTATTTTTGGAAATGTTGGGACCTTGACTTAAATGTCAAACAAAGTTCTGTTGGTTTAAACAAAGCTTGGCCACACAGCCTGCATTTAAAATAAAGAACTCACTGCAAGCGGGTAAAGGAAATGAGAGCTGGAATTTAGTTTCACCACGTTGGTACAGGGTTTTTGGAGATTTGTGATGCATCTGCAGAGCCTCTGTTGATTTTCAGAAAACCGCACATTTTTGACAGACGTTGTTTTGTTGTGTTTCAGAACCCTTCATGAGGAACGGTCGCCCACCCACCTCCCATAGCATGCACTCCTTCCTGCACCAGTACACAGGCTCCTTCAAGAAGCCCCCCCTACGCCGGCCGCACAGCGTCATCGGTGGCACCCTGGGGTCCTTCATGGCAATGCCACGCAACGGCAGTCGCCTGGGTGAGACACACACACGTGTTCACACACTTACACACACACACACACACGGAAGGAAGTGAGTAGTCGGAGAGCAGATGGCATCCAGGGACAAACAGGAAACGTGTCACGGTCCTGATATTTCCATCCTGCTTCTTATATTCACAAACCCATGAGGCAGCCTCTCTCTTCGCCCTCAGCAGGGCTGTTTTCGCCCGAGTGACAGCTGGATGGGGGATTCAGTCAAACATGACGCAGTTTCCTGTGTGAACTGATTCACCACAATGGATCCGTAGCAACAAGTCCGATCCTGAGGGTTGGAAGGGAAGACGATGTTTGGATGATTCAAAGCAGCAGCAGATTTCAAGCTGGGGTTCGGGGAACAACCAAGAGGGTGTTGCGATGATTCAGGGGACAGTACGAAACAGAGGAACAAAGTGTTATGGATATCAAAATCTACCAGCGTCTAGGGTTTTTGAATATTTAGTCAAGAAAGCCTGGCAGGATCTGGAGCGATGTGCATATGGTTATATTTAAAAATGTTAAAAATAATAAATAAATAAAATGTTTATTATTTCAGTAAATATGTGTACCCTGGTTAGTGCTTCTCTAAGCTAATTGTGAAGATGGGTGATCTTATTGAGCCTCGCACTGGACCCTGGCCTAGATAGAGGGACTTGGATCTAAAAACAGGACAGTTAAGTAGGACATTGATGTACCACATATTGCTGCTACACTCTGTGTGCTTATTAGCAAAGCAGCTAAAGACAGCAGAGAGACCGATTGGTAGGGAAAGAGCAAGATCATAAAGTCTCAAGTACAAAAAACTCTCAAGAAAGGGGGGGAAGTGAAGGAAGGATGTGTGTAGATGTTCAGGAAATAAAGCTCAAAAATGGGTGGAGAATGAAATCCTTCAAGGTTTTTGGAGAGAGGAAGAAGTGAGGCAAGAGATTACAAGAAACGCGTCAAAGCAAAAGAAAAAAACAATGTAGGAAGATAAGAAAAAGGAATCAGGTTTGGCTGGGAGGTGAAGAAATTATGGGAGAAAGTGAAAATATTATTGAGAGAAAGAATTTTGGGAGTTTTAGGAGGGCATGAGGGCCAATATGAAATAGCAGGAGATAATGGAGAAGTGGGTGAAAGTAAAAGGAGGTTGAAAGGAAAAGAAAAGTAGGACAGATGAGATCATTTGGAGGCATTGGAGAAGAGGCACACAAGTTAGAAAAGGCGCAGGTAGCGAAGGAATGTGTTGAAGCAATAGAGTCAGATCGGCTGCTGCCTGTGAAAACCTTCCAAAAGAGAAAACATGATAGCAGTGAAAGAGACATATGTAGAGTGAAAGGGAAAGAAAGACAGAATTAGGAAGTGAAAGACATTGGTGAGGTTTTTGAAGTGGGGTAACAAAAATGTAAATGAGGTACAGAGAAGTGAGAAAAAAGGAAGACAGATCTCTTGGAAGTTTTCAAAGAGGAGAAAAGTTGAAGAAGGAAATTGGGGCGACAACGACTTGTTTGCAAGGTGTTCATAGAGAGAAAGTAACTAGGTTAGGGGGAGGAAAGTGTGGCAGTTATAGGGAAGAAAGGGGGAGAAGAAAGAAAGAGGAAGAAATTTCATTTCCTGTGAATCCTTTGTATGTAGGTAGGCAGTTTCAACCCTGTGTGAGAATGGCGGACTCCACCACTAATAAAGAAAACTACTCTATAGAGAGGTTATTCCAGAATGTGAATAAATTGAATGGCTATTGCTGAAACAAGTGGCAACCATAAATATGAACAAAAACAGTGTTTTTTAATTCATTCATTTGGTATAATATAATGGTATAATTTCACTCTAAAATAAATGGTTTTACTTGTTTTTCAAACAAAAAGCGATTGTTGATTCAGTCACTAGTTGGGGTTTGTTTGTCTGAAATTTAGGAAATGGTGTATCAGCCATTACACCTGTGCATCACTATAAGAGATTGAATGATGACCTGATTCTACGCAAAGAAGTGAGTGTATGTGCAGTTTATGCACAAAACTGTGTGTACGGACGGTTGATAAATGAGGCCCCGGGGGGAACAGAGGGGATGAATGGATGTAAGATGGTTGTAGAGGCAAAAGGGAGAAAAATAGATGAAAAAAAAAAAACTAGGAAGATGTTTGAGGAAAGATGGGTTGAGAAGCAGTGAGAGGGGAGAAGAAAAGTCAACCATCTCTTCCAGATGGGATGGTTACAATAATTTCCTCTTCCTCCCTCTCCTTCTTCTTTTTCCTCTTCTTCTTCTTCTTCTTCTTCTTCTTCTTCTTCTTCTTCTTGTTCTTCTTCTTCTTTTTCTTCTATGTCCTGTCTTTCCTCTTTTTTTTAACAAGACAGACGTCTTCTTGCCTTCTCTGTTATGGTGAATTACAATGGATTTATTCCACTGACAGACCTGCCGTAATGTATCAAGTTCTTCCTCGGTAACCAAAACCAAAGTTCAGATGGAGATGCAGCAGAGAAACCTCAACCATCTGTGGAAAAACAGGGTGACATGCGGAGTGGAATAGAATGGGTCAGCCCCACAGGAAAATCCTGTAAGCATCTCAGTTTCTAAAAGTGGATCAGCATTTTCTTTAATCTGAGGAGACTTTGGTTTTCAACCAAATGGCCACAGACAGGTTCACATTCTGGGGCAAAGTGTTCCTCTGGGTTGTGGCTGCACCGCAGAGTAATGAAGTCAGACTTTATGAAGTGAAGTTTGTCAATAAGATGCATGAATAGAGTAAGAGAGCTTTGTTCGCGTGCAAAACTACAGTCATTGTTTCATAAAACCTAAGCTAACAATTATAATTAATAATCTTTTGTGATATCAAGAGAAATAATCAGGATTATCATGTTTGAAATAATTTCCAACAGTTAATCTCCATCAACAGAACAGAGATTTCTTTCTCCTCATCTCTCTGCTCTGCTTTCACGTTTGATGACAGACTGCATGGTTGGAGGCGCTGACACACTGATGACAGAGAACTGCTCAGCCATAGCTACTCATTAACTGTGTGTGTGTGTGTGTGTGTGTGTGTGTGTGTGTGTGTGTGTGTGTGTGTGTGTGTGTGTGTGTGTGTGTGTGTGTGTGTGTGTGTGTGTGTGTGTGTGTGTGTGTGTGCGTGTGTAGTAGGGGGTTGCATGTGGTTTGTATATCAGTGTGTTTGCTCCTCCTGTGCTATGGTAGTAGTGGTAGCTTTTACTACCCTGGAGGAAGTGGTGCAGGTTGGAGTGTTTAATATTTGGCCTCAGGGGTTACAAGGGTGTGAGAGGAGAAGCAAGCGGGGAGAGACATAGGGAGTGAGAGAGAATGTGGTCTAAGGGCCAGTACAAGAGCTAATATTTGTTTCCAGTGGAAATATTCCTAGGTATTCCATTTAAATACAAATGTACATACAGCTAGTTTTTAAACAGTTATTTGAATAGATGATTGACAGAGATTTAACTGTAAACAACTGTAACACTGAGTAATCATTTAAGTCATTTATCAAGAAAAACAACAAACGTTCTCTGCCTCCAGCTCTGGCTCCAGCAATTTGCTGCGTTTTATATGACTGGTAATATAATATCTCTTGGTTTGCACTGTCGCTCGGACAAAACCAGTCATTTTGCATACAGCTGATGGCTGCCTCACGTATCCTGTGTCTAATATCCCAATTCAGAACTTTAAAGCACTGTATAAGCATTCATGGGAGAAGAAATAAATGTTGACAAATACTGGGCATATATAAGAACTTTTTTCTTTTTTTTTACGACTACATTATATTTGTGTAGTGAATGGTGGACTACTTACGGTATGAAATGTTTATGTAGTGCCTATAAATGCTAAATGGGGATTTAGAATGTTACCGTAATATCAATCAATGCAACCTGTCCATCATATTAGACAGACTGGACCAGATCTGATTTGTAATAAGGGGTCAACTTTAGTCTGATTTATCTAATGTGACTTTGTACCTGTTAATAAATATCTAGTAACATGTATTTCTGTACATTTCTGTGTCTTTTAATGTATTTTGTTATTTCCATTCTGTCTTAGATATTGTGCATGAGAACCTGAAGATGGGCTCAGATGGGGAGAGCGACCAGGCGTCGGGAACGTCTTCAGATGAGGTGCAATCTCCTACCGGCGTCTGTCTGAGGAACCGCCTCCATCGACGGATCTCCATGGAGGTGAGACACGTACACACTGGCACAGTATTTGCTGAAATGGCTTACATGGCGAGTCTACATTCCACCCTTCGCCCCCTCTCCTCTCCTTCTGTTCTGCTCTTCACCTCCTCCTCTCCCCCTCGGCCTCATGGGAGATCTGATTTGGGAGGGGGTTTGTGGATTGTTCATCTCCTAATGGGCTCTCAGTGTCTGGGCTTCATGATACTGATAGCAGTCCTGCTCCCTGAGGACCACAGCAGCGGCTGGTAAAGAGATGCAGTGTGATAATCTCTGCTGTAACCACAGTGATTTTTTTATATGTCAGACGTCGTTGGCTCGAGAGCATGCTGGGACAGAAGTCTCCTTTGTTCCTCATACAAAGATGTATATAATGAAATTCTGCCTTTCAAAACCATGTTTGCAAACACCTGCTCGACACCAGAACATCAGTCCTACTTTGATAAAATCTCAAATTATATAATATTACATAAATTATTTTTTTTTTCAGTGCCTTTTCTGCCCTCTTTAAATTAAACATGAATACAAGGAAATACTCAATTCTTTTACTATTTTTAGCAGAGTCGTTCGGAAATAGGGCACAGTTGTTACAGAGGACTCCATCCCCTCCACTTCTTTTCATTTCCAATTTTTATTCATATTTTTAGGCTGCAGATGCACCTCTTTTCTAACCAAAGGCTGTTCAGATTTTATTAACCATAGCAAGCATTTAAGTGCTAACTGAGTCAAAGATGATAAATTGGCTTTGGTGGCCCTGAGGGTACGCTAGACACAATCACTTACACAAGCTCAGCAAATAAAATGTGAACAGGATAAATGAAAAAGTCCTCATGATTATCAGGGGACTTATTTTCCCGGCTAGTTTCTAATTTCACAGTGGTTTTTGTCTGAAATGAGCCACCATTCATTTGTCAGACTTCTGTTATATTGTTTAATGCTGACCATTATGAAAAGGTGGTAAATCTGCAAATAAAGTGATGGCAAAAGTTGGCTTTATGTGGGGTTTCGCTACATTACATGCAGATGTTCTCAATTAATAATCTCTCATCTCTTTATAAATATTGAACCTGGGGGAAGTTTTTTTCTGAAAAGGGATGAGCGTCTCAGCGTGGAGGCCTCCTGCCCCCTGCTGGCAGATGAGTGTATGTGACAAAACCCACCTTGACAACATCCTTGTTGCATTATCTCTCTCTCTCAGACAGACAGACACACACACACATACACAGTGACCTATTTTCCACTCGTTTGTAGGTGCACAAAACAAGACAAGCTAAAGGATGTGGTGATAATCACTTGACCTCGTGCACACACATGCACGTAAGCTCTGTTACATGAGCATAAGTGCACTGCTTTTCTTGTGGTTCTTGTCATACTGCTGGAGGTTTTAATGAAGCCATATTGTGACAGTAAAGAGGTACAGTCTACACTCGCTTACTGACTCTTACCAGACAATGGGGTTTTTTCAGTTATGTGGCACCTCTACGTTCCAAGTCTGTCACCTTATCTTTTATAAATTACACACTGTAACACTTACATAATATCATAAAGCCCATAAACATACATTACAACATTGATATATAATATATAATACCAAGGAAATCTTGGAGGGGTGGCAACATTACAAACATTGCCTGAGTACCCCTTAATGAAGTCTCAAGTTACATCAGTTCTATAGACCTTTTTCACAGCAGCCATTTTGACATGAAATAGTAAGGTAAACACAGGGTTTACCAATGAGACTAATTAAGGTTCGGTTCCATTTAGTGTAGCAGAGCCTTTCCAGTAACCCAACATGCACAATAGCAGCACTCTGATATCGGTAACTCCTGTGTCCTTTCATTGTACCCATAACATCACAGTAATAGATTGCTTCAGTATGCATGGTGTAATGTAAAGCTTTTGTCTTAGTGTTTATTGTAAATCTTTATCTCTAAATCTGAAGATTACATTAAAATTACCCCCCTAGTTAGGGATTAATGTAAACATTGAACAAAAATGATTATTTTATATTTTTTACTGCCTGTTGACTTAGTTAGTTCGTGCATGGCTGCTTGTGTTTCGACATAATTTAAAAAGTTGGCTCTTCTGCTAAATAGAAAAGGAAGTTCTGTGTTCATGTGTTTATATTCCTTAAGGAAAATATGTTTGTATCTGTACTGAAACAACATCTTAAAATGTTACCCAGCCATATTCCCTCAAAAAACTGCACCATCTGTTTGTGATTTAAGACTAAACTTAGAGATGTATTTTTGTTTCTTTCACTCACTTTCTGGTTACTTATTTGAGTTGATTTATTCACATGTGGTGGTTAACTTTATGGAGGCCGGAATCATTTTTAGGTAGTGTAACCAAATGCAGTTTGCTTTTACTTAAATGTAAAATCAAAAGATCTTCTAGTTGCTTTTTTTATCTGATCAGTCCAAGACCCAAAGATATAACATTTTGAATATATAAAATCTAGACAAGCAGCAGATCTTCACATAAGCAGAAACTGGACCCAGAGAAAGTCTGAAATTTGTTTGTGATAAATCTTTTAACAAGGACAACAAAGTGCTTCACAAACTGAGGGAACATACATCTAAAGTAAATGAAATAAAAATAGATGAAATGCTGAGAGGACAGACTAAATCTGTTGTAGACTGATGAGCTTTAAGCCACCATTTTACATCACAGAAAAAGCAGCACAGAGTCGCATTATATAATACTTCCTCTCTTCATGACACCGATATGCTCTACATAATCGGAGCTGTTATTTGAACTCTCAGTTGTCACAATACTGGCATCTTCTCTGAGCAGCACTGTCATAGAGGACAAAGGACCTCAGTAATGAAATGAGAGAGGATGAGTTGATGGTATTTGTGGAGAGGCCAAACTTAAAAACGCGTACGTTAACCAAACAGATGTAACGTCTTCTCTCACTTTATTTTTACACCACTCACCCTTATTTTTCACACATCAGTCAGCATTATGTCAGCTATCAGATGTGGTCCTTATTTTGATTCCAGAATAGATATGATCAGTCGCCCACAACAATAAGATATGAGCCCAGTAATATTTACAGCCTGCTGTGTGAGAATATGAGCTGGAAACATTAATAAATACATGTATGATTTGTTTTTATCTTTGCTCGGTTGTCTTGCTGTTTTGTGTGCAGGTGTGTGTTTTCACAATCTGATTTGTGCTTACAAAGTTTTGCTGTTCAGCGCCAGTCACGCCTCGACACGCCGTCTCTTATTTTTACCCTCCATAAGATGGTGATCGACCTGATCTCTGTCTTCTCTCTCTGGGAGTAGGAGGAGATGAGAGTTATTTTCGACACTGTATGTATGTCTGTGTGGGTGGATGGGTGGACTACGTTGTCTTGTGCTGCTTGCTGCAGAAAGAAGCCCCACACCACAAATAGACGCAAGGCACGTCGCAGTATATTTTCTCATGGTGTGCTGTAATGTGAGCAGGTTGCAGAAAAGCAACAGTGTGGCTTATCACCAATAACTCATGTGGTTAAGTAACAGCTTGTGTTGAAGTGAATTTGATCTTACTATAGAGTTGTTTGGCTTTAAATATAAAACTCCATTCCCAAAGAAACTCCAGATCCCCTAGTGACTGTTAAATCAAAAGCTAGTTTCAAAAAACTAAAAAAAAAACTTTTTTTATATGTGTGTTTTAGGACCTCAACAAGCGCTTGTCGCTGCCTGCTGACATCCGAATTCCTGACGGTTACCTGGAAAAGCTGCAGCTCAGCAGCCCACCCTTCGACCAGCCGCTCAGCCGACGCTCCCGCCGAGCCTCGCTGGTCAGTGTCTGTGTGCGTTTGTGTCTGTGTGTGCTACCTTTATTGGTGTGCGCTGATGTTACCAGACTCCCTCTGTGCGAGTTACCATGGCAACTGGCCTGGTGTGAGATCAGGATGGATTAATCTGAAGTCACAAGCGCTCACCTCCTGCCTTTAGCCCATCAAATTAGATCATAATACTCAGCTGTGGTGTGATCATGCAGCTTTGTGTTGGAGGTTTATGCTATTAGAAGTTGCCAACAATGACACTGCAGGTTAAAAAAGTTATTGCTAGTAATTTCTTTGATCTTTTCCTTAAGGATCATGTAAAAGATACTGCATTTCTTGCCCTTTTGTTTTCCTCCATCTGTCCAGATGAAGTAAACATCAAATAAATTTTCCCCAAAGATGGTTTCTGTCATTTTAGGTAGCTTGATTCTTCTCAAGTGTTAATTTTTCAGACAAGTTTGGTTTTAATTAGTTATTTGATGCTATAAAAAGGGGGTTTCATGTAATGATTGACAGCTCGCGATTGAATAGGTTGGGTGTTTGGGAGGGGCTTCAACATCGTGGCTAACTACTGCACAGACACAGCAACCGTATCCGGGATATTATTGCTTCATTTTTCTACTGTGGGAGGAAGTGGAGATGCATCGTCCACTTTTATATACACTCTATGATCTAAAACAGGGGTTTTAACAGTCTAGCTGTCAGACAGCTACCACTGTATCAATTTGATACTGAAAAAAAACTTCAGAGACCATGATATCCTTGTAAAGTGTATGTCACATTAAATCATATGTATCATGTCTGTGTGTTCAGTTTTGACTGAGTTAGTTATGACTCAAAAGGAGTGATTTTTGAAGCAAATTGCAGAAAGGATTTACCTTAAGTCCCTCACTGTTTAAAAACCTCTGATCGAAGACATTGACTGCACAAGTCAGGTTTTGTTGTCCGTCCTGAAACAAAGCAAGGAAACCCAGAGCTGCTTTTGGTGCAGTCGCACTCATACACAGATAAATCCTTCACCAGCAGTAACATTAAAACAGAATACAACACACCTGCATTGTGTTTTGATGTTATATGAAGGAGTATCTAAAGGTTTAGAGCAACTTCAGTGGCTGAATGAAAAGATACTGCAGTAATCTGTTTTTACTCAGGTGTTGCAGGAACAGTAAAACCACAGATTGAGCAGACTGCAGAATCCAAAATGTCTTTTTAATGGCCTTTTAACTTCATCCATGATAAATTCTGACTTTTCCCTCAGTCGGAGATTGGTTTTGGCAAGTTGGAGACGTATATTAAGCTGGACAAGCTGGGAGAGGTGAGGAAGACATGAAATCCCATCTGACACTATTATTGAAGGAAATGTGTTTCACAACTCGTGTTAATTCAGTAATATTGAACCAGTGTTATGTGTTGCATTCAGGGAACCTACGCCACAGTATTTAAAGGACGCAGTAAGCTGACAGATAACTTGGTGGCCCTGAAGGAGATCCGACTGGAGCACGAGGAGGGAGCGCCATGCACTGCCATCAGAGAAGGTAATCAGCCTTGTCTCCTACACAAAACTCCTCAGGTTCTTCACTTTAATGTCACATGAAGCATTCTTATGGAAATAAAACTTCTGTCATATTGGTAGTAGTACTTTTCTTATAATGATCACAGACTGGAGGTTGAACTGTAATTCATCCCACTTTTTATTTCACTGTTAAAAGGATCAATTCAACCTAATGACAAAAAATTTAATATGGTGTAGGCTAAAGGAATTTAATATGTGGTGCTTAGACATAAAAAATAACTCAATAACAACATCCCTTTCCAAAAAAAAAGTAATATATATATATATTAGTAATATCAAATAATCGTCGTCATCAAAAAGTGTGCAAACATCTGTCTGTCTTTGTCTCTGTAGTGTCGTTACTGAAAGACCTCAAACACGCCAACATCGTGACGCTACACGACATCGTCCACACTGACAAGAGCCTCACACTCGTCTTCGAGTACCTGGTAAGACTCACTGCTTCCCTCTGTTCTCAAGATGGTCTTTGTTAAGAGCTTTACAGACAAAATGCTTCTAAATTTAATTTAATTTCAGCGTTTTTTGTTTTCCCAACTGTTTTCACATGCATTTCTTATCTTTTTTTCACTTTTGCAACCATATAAGGTTATTACTTTATTTATTTATTTATTACTTAACGAGATTGTGCATTACAGACAAGGAGTCACCACTACAGACCAAGACACGGTGTACATATGAGGGGAAAAAAATGTCAGTGTAGAGATGTACTAGAGAGGTGTTATTGTATCTACTTCCTGTTTGATGGTGCCATCTCTCCCTGCAGGATAAGGATCTGAAGCAGTACATGGATGACTGTGGAAACATAATGAGCATGCACAATGTGAAGGTGAGGACAACTATTACTAATTATTACACTTTTTATTCTGCTCTCTTTACTTTGTAATGTTATTTTCCTTTGCTGTGGGAAAACATTATCTCTTCTCCACTCTGGGAGCTTGTATGCCCTTTTTTTGTGTGTTCAACAGAGATGAGAGTGTGTAGTGTTGGGCCTTTGACCAAATAGTCCCAGGAACTTTTAAGAACTCTTAAGGCTTGTGTATACTCGCTGTTCCTGACTTGTCGCGCGACAACGTGACGCCAAAATGATGTAGATCTCGCTGGCACGCCAGGATTTTGGCCAGGTTGCGCCAGGTCGCGCACCACTCTTTTTTTTTCAGCTAAGAGCGCCAAAGCAGGAACAGGAAGATGGACAATCTGTATGATCCTTCAATGAAGGAACACAGAGATGCCCAGAGGTGCCAGAATGTTGGAAAAGAGGAGGCCATATGCTGGAAAATTTGGAAGAACCTCCACGACCGATTTGGGAAAAATAAAAAAAAATAAAAAAACTTTTTCTTCTTCTTCTAGTGCCTAGAAATAGCAAAGTCAGTAACCTTTCCTCAGTAGTGACACCTCTGTTCAGGAGAAGACTGCAACTAGTGTCACGACCCCCCCTGCGCAAGTATAAATAGTTACGGCGCTCCCGTGACGTCACATTGTCGCGCGACATGTCGGCAACGGCGAGTATACCGAGCGCTTTAAAGCGAGGGACTAAAAGTCATTTATTTGCATATTTCTGTTTGCATTTACAGGCCATCTGAGGAAGTTCAGTCACCATAGCTGCAAAAGAAAAAAATAGCTGTGAAAACCTGGCAAATTAGACCAGTAAAGGATACACCAAATCAATTCTTTATTAATAACATCAAGTTTTTAAACATCTTTTCAGATCTTCCTGTTCCAGATTTTGCGAGGGCTGTCGTATTGTCATAAGAGGAAAGTTCTCCACAGGGACCTGAAGCCCCAGAACCTCCTAATCAACGAGAGAGGAGAACTCAAACTGGCTGATTTCGGTAAGAGGAACCACAACAGCAGCAAATACTGTCTTTAGGGCAGTGGAGAATGGAGGAGTGGGAGTATTCCTACAGTCCTTGTAGTAAATTTGTGAGGGAAATTTTGAAAATTGCATGAAAATACATTTTCAGTTGTACTCTATACAGAAATTATGCTTCTCTCCCCTGTAAACAATCCTAATGTCTGTTTATGTCTTTGGTGGACTGGCAGGCCTGGCGAGGGCCAAGTCTGTCCCGACTAAAACCTACTCCAACGAGGTGGTGACTCTTTGGTACCGGCCTCCTGATGTCCTACTGGGATCTTCTGAGTATTCAACACAGATCGATATGTGGTACGTACCTCACTGGAACCCTGCAGCTCACACTACTAAAACTTAGTACAGGCATGATTGTTATAATATAATTAGTGTATTAATCAATGTGTTGTCAACAAACACCACCCATTTGTGACCTACAGCTTCTGAAACATTATGATTCTGTTTTCCATCATCGTGTGTGTATTTTATAGATTTAACATTTAATCTAATAACAGGGTATCTGCAGGTTTTTAAAATCCAATTATCTAAATTGTAGGCCTTAAAATGTGTTAAATAGGATTTTGACAGGTGCTAAAAATGGATTGGATTAGTGAAGTTAACTGTGCAAAGTTGCATTTTTCAGCTTTTAAACATGTTTTTTTGCTAATGCGGCTTCTGTTGCTCCTAATAATGCTCTCCTGTCTCTTGGTATGAGATACAGCTGAAACGCTTAGTTGGTTAATTGTTCAGTTTAATTGTAGTCCTAGATTGCCAAAATTTGCATCAAAATTCGTACTCTCTCTCTTTCGTCACATTATTTAGGTTCAGTGAGACTTGCATTTTCCAAGGATATCAGTATCACAGATGTCTATTACAAATAAATGTAAATAAATCCACTTAGAAATTGCAGACTGACATTTTATCAATCAAACAATTATCAGTCAATCGAGAAAATAATTAGCAGATTAATAGATAATGAAACTATTCCTTAGTTGCAGCCCTAGAATTAAACTACTATTCTGTGTACGTGTGTGTGCAGGGGTGTTGGTTGCATATTCTATGAAATGGCTGCAGGTCGGCCACTGTTCCCCGGCTCCACCGTGGAGGATGAGCTCCACCTCATCTTCAGGTTACTGGGTGAGTGACTCCCACCAGGCCAGATCACCATGGCAACCCAAACGTCTCGCCGCACGTATGATTACCTGTTTAACCAAATGTGGCTAAATACTGTATATCTGAGACGCTGTGATTCTGTGACTTCAGGCACGCCCACAGAGGAGAACTGGCCAGGAATCTGCTCCATCGAAGAGTTTAAATCCTACAACTTCCCCAAATACAAACCGCAGCCATTAATCAACCACGCTCCCAGGTACTGTGGTCTGTGTGTGTGTGGCCTGTATGTTCCTGTGTGTGCATCTGTCTTTGTTTTTTATGCACCCATGGGTCTGGTTTTTTTTTTTCTCAACTCTTTTGCATGTATACAGTAATGGTGTGTATTCATGAGTGTGTGTGTGTATGTGTGTGTGCTGCCACAGGCAGGAAATCCTGTGGAACATTTCACAGACAGCCATCCACTTCCGTCCTCCCATGAGCCCCCACATTCCCATCAGGCCGTGCTGCAGGCAGACAGTAAACTGTTGGCTCTTCCTTTTGTTTCCTTTAGGCTGGACGGTGAAGGCATCGAGCTGCTGCTGTCTTTCCTCAAAGTGAGTGTACTTCCTTCATAATACCCAGAATGCAATTCAATCCACTGCATTTTACCCAATGTTCCCTCCTCTTTTTGATTTTCATTTTCTTATCTTTTGAATCCCTATAAAAGAGAGAAATTGAAAATGCATGAATTGTCCTTCTTGATCTTTGGGGATAGTATTTCAAGCACATCGCTTCAGTGAAGCTGGTACAGGTGTCATCACACAGCTGACAGCTGGTTAAGATAGACCAGGGGCTGGTGGGGGCCCAGGAAAGATCAGGGGGACCGCTCATATCCGACATCCAAGACCGTTCTTGGACAGAGACACATGATCACGCTATTATCATTATCATGTGACCAAAAGTTCACATTAGGTCATGTGATGGGGCATTTTTTTCATGTCTTTTCCCATATCATCAGTTCAAATAAGCTTTATTGCCAAAGCTAAACTACATATTTATGGCTTAAGAATAAATAATCTACTGTCAGCTATGTAAAAAAGACATGCATACCTGCACCTGAAAAAAAGAAAATACAGTTGAAAACAGTTTATAAATAAATGAAATTACAAGTGAAAGTCGAGATTAATTGTTAATTTAGGATCTGGGTCCCTTTGTACATGTGCTCATATCACAGAGTTAAGTTGAGATATGGCAGAAGATCTGGAAAAGGTCTGAAAAAATTAGTTTGATGTTAAAGTTTGGTTTAAAGGGACTCTTAAAAGGGGGACTGAGAGGCAGGATCTTGAACTGTAGATGTCACACTCAATTGACTTTGCTTTCTTTAACAGCTGTTTGTTGGCAGGCTTTTTGTTGAGTAGCAGTGATTTTTCTGTTTGACAGTAAAAGAAGAATACTAACAAATAAGACAAAGTGTACAAACTGATTGGATAGAAGATCTATCAATCATCTATCTATCTTTCATGATAAATGTGCATTTATTCTGGGAATTCATCCCTTCAGTACCAGTTGTAGGCAGCAGGAGGCACAGCCCTGTCACTTTTTTCCCTTAGGTATTGTCAAGGAACATACTCTTGGTTGATACTTCCTGTTGCTGTCTCCACAGTACGAATCCAAGAAGAGGATTTCAGCTGAAGAGGCAATGAAACAATCCTACTTCAGGCAGCTCGGGATGAGACTTCGCGCACTGCCTGAGAGTGAGCACACACACACCTGAATAAAGTTGCAGTCTGTTGTTTTTGGGATTTCCTGCCATTTGCTGTAGACTGAAGTTCTCCTCTGTTTTGTAGGTGTATCAATATTCACATTAAAAGAAGTGCAGCTGCAGAGAGACCCTGGCTACAGGAACTCCTCATATCCAGAGTCAGGTGGGTGGGGATCACATCCAGATGCTTCAGCATTTAACCTTGTTAGATCATTAGATACAAAAATAAACTTTTCTTGCTTAACGGCCCAGTGTGTAACATTTAGGAGGATATATTGGCAGACATGGCATATAATAATCATTGGTATGTTTTCATAGGAATATGATTCAATAGGAATTGTTAAATTTTTTTGTTACATTACCTTAGAATAAGTCGTTTTTATCTACACAGGGAGCGGGTCCTCGTCTATGGAGGCCGCCAAGTTTCTACATTAGCCCAGAACGGACGAATCAAACATTGACTCTAGATAAGGGAAATGTATTTGTTTCTCGGTCAACGTAGTTTCTCCTACACGCTTGGAAGGCCAAGCTGTATTCAAATGGTTGCAGTCTGCAACTTTACCGCTAGATGCTACTAAATCCTACACACTGGTCCTTTAAGATGATTATGTGACAATCATTAGAAAGCAGGTAAAATGAGGCCGATGAAGGATGATAGTTGCAGATTATTAAAAAAGGGTCCAGACTGCAGCAACAGAGGCTGAGATATCCTGACTTTTAGTTCCTAGTATGGGTCAAGCTTCAAAAACACTGGATCCATCGTGTAACCCACACATCCAGTTTGTCAAGCAGATATTCTTTAAAAATATCTACAGTCTCAAGCCAAACCCCAGATGATCCTGATGGCTCCTTGTTACAAGTAAACTGAACTTCATATGTAACATCAGTGGCACCATAACTGTGTTAATAAAAATAGATCTACTGATGAAGGCTTTGTATAGCATCTCTAATGTATTATGCATTATGGGTATTGTATCTTTAGACTCTGTCCTTTTCTTCCAGGTAACGGCAAGATCAACAGGAGGCAAAGCATGCTCTTCTAATGTCTGATTAAGAGGATGGTCGACTGCCCACCTTCTTCATCTCTTCCCACCAACCCCTCGCATGAGCCCACCTCCCCTCGGAGTGACCCTCCCCCTCCCCTTACCTGCACACACACACGCACACATAAACATGCACACACACCCCTCTGAGCGAGTGACTCTGGGTTGAATCTATTTGGAGACTGTGTTTATTTATTGGGGGGCGGGGTGAGGTTGAATTTTTTTGCTGCTAAACTACTACTGTCTGTATTTAACACACCGTGTGTGCGTGTGTGTGTATGTGTGTGTGTGTGTGTACATGATGTGAACTTGAGACGCCATGCACAGTTGAGCAGTCAGTAAGTTTACTGTTGTGTTTCTTCGGACTATGATTCTCCGGCTTCGTTTGAGTTAGAATTCCACTGATGTTGATGTCGACGCTGTGATCCAAGTTGTTGTTCTTGTTGTCGTGCTTGGAGACCGAACGCTTCAGTTTCTTCAGAATTTTTTTTTTATAAATATGTATAACTATATATATATTTGGAGTTTATGTTTTGTTTTTCTTCGAGCTTCCGTGAATGAACTCTACAACATTTCCAGGTTTAGAAAGACTAGGACGGCTAGATGGTCTTGGTTGAGGAAAAACGGTTCCTCTGGATTCCTCGTCGTCATTTTTCTGAAACATTTCAGTTGGATTCTTCTTCTAGAGGCCCTGCTGCCCTCTGGGGGGGTTACACTGAGGGTCAAAAAGCAGGACTGTTTGTGGACAGTGGTAACAGTTTTGGTCTGTGGGTTAAAGAAGCACACACAGAGTCCAAACAAACTGGGAGAACATGAAACCATCTTTCGGTTCTTTTGTTTTTTTGGCCATTCTGGCTCAGCAACGGGACCAAAACTGAGGTGGAGGGGGGAGGCAAAGAGTTCAGAAGACGATTAAAAAGTACGGATGAAAGAGGAGGAATACTGGAGCTGAACAGGAAGTCATGTGACGTCCCACAGGAAGCCAGCAAGCCTTCCCTAAAACCCCTCACAAAACTGCCAGGACTTCAGTGCTTTTAAAAAAAAAATGCAAGCTACACTTTCTCGCTCTGTGTGCATTTGGAGATCTCACTGCAGTAACTTTGTTTTTAACTTGCACTTCAGTGTGTTTTTTTGGAATCAGGGACCCGGGCCTCGACATGGCCGAGTTTACCCAACAGTATTAAGATGTGTTCTATGTGTCTGTGACCTTTGACCTCTCCTTGTGAAACAACAGCGTCATTGTGGCATGTTTTTCGGAGGGGGGGATAGCGGGGATCGGGGTGGGTTGTTTAAAGCAAAATGGTTGTTTTACACTTGGCGTTGGACCACTGCTCTCTCCAGCATTTGTACACAAGGAAGAAAAGATTTCAAATTGAAATTTTAGATTTAACTGCCCGCTGTGTTGTTTGCAACTGACAGTGATGCTACAGATGAAGCCATTTGAGAAATCTCACTTTTGACTGCATGTTGACTAAGCAATGGGATCACCTGAAAATTACTTCAACACTTAAATATCTACCGGTATGCTTTGCATTCCTGGCTTATTGCTTTCCTGGGGTTAGTTGCAAGTATGTAACTTATAGCGAAGACGAGGTCAGATATTTCCAGAAGCTGTAGAATAAAGATAATAGTGTTTTATTGGTTTAAAGCTGCAATAGGACATTTTTATAAAATATAACTTTTTGTCATATTTGCTGAAACTTAGACAAAGACATATAACCTGTAAAAAAATAAATAAGATCTGGTTCCTCTTGCTACTCCTAGTGCTACTAGTGGCATTTGCAAAAATCCACCGTACCGGAATGAAAACAACCAATCAGAGCCAAGAAAGATAGATGATTAAGTCTCATTTCCAGGTTGTCAAATACTGACGCTTTAAAGCAGTGGATTCTTGCACTAGGAGGAGCCAGAGGAACCTAATTTCTTTCACAGATTATCTGTCTCATGTACTACGACTGTCTAGGTTGTTTTTTTTTATAAAAAGTTACCTACTGCAGCTTTAAAAGAATAGTTTGACTTTTGGGAAATATCCTTATTTGCTTTCTTGCGAGAGTTAGTTAAGAAGATTGCTGTCACTCTTGTGTCTGTACAGCAAATACAAAGCCAGCACCAGGAGCCTGTTAGCTTAGTTTAGCACAAAATAAAAAAACAGGGAAACTAGCTTAGGCTTGCTGTTTCCCTTTGTTTCTAGTTTTGCTCTAAGCTAAGCTAACCTAACCAGCCGCTGGCTCCAGCTACGTGTTTATTGTACAGATATGAAAGTGTTACCAATCTTTGCATCTTTCAGCAAGTCTACTTCTCAAAATGTCAAACTACTCCTTCAAACAATTTGGTGTAAACATCATGCTTTTGTTTCAGACTTTCAGAATCAAAAAGCAAGAGCTCCAAACCTGACGTTTCGCTTCAAAATTCAAAGTCACACAGGGAGAAACCCATCATCTAAAAGGCACAGGGAGCAATTTCTACACTCACAGTAGCAAAAGTAGAACTGAGTGCCGTGCATAAGCTTCTGCGCTAAAAAAAACAGGAATGCATTCGACATCACAGGTTGAACACGTAAGGGTGTTAGAAGATCTGAGGGAAATGTTCTTGTTACTGCAGCTCTTCATCTACATGAAAATTTCACTTTTATTTTGAGATTTAAAGGATTTGAGCAACGCTTAAGTTCTCTGTTTCAACATACTGATTGGGTAGAACATGCTAGAAAAGTGCTATAAGCACTACTAATGCTTGATAACATCATTAATGGCTGAGAAAATTAATGTAATAAACATTAAACAGTTTGCAGCTAATAGTGTAATAATCCTGTAAACATACTGTATTTCTCATCATTTTCTGTCTGTTGTCCGTTCCAAAAGCTCAGTAAATGAGCTCAAATTAAAGTCAAAAGAGAACAAATACAGACGGAATATACTGTTAATGGTTTACATTCAGAATAATGTAACAATGATTGTGTTCACAGGAAAAAAAAGTCATTATATTAATGGTAGACATCCTGTATTACATTGACCCATCACCCCTCAGTTTCTCCCTAGGTAGCTTTAAAATGAGGAACGCTTTTTCTTCCCCTCATTGTATTTCACAATAACTGTATCAGCGTGTTTGGATGCTTCACTGAAACTTTACTACACTTAAAACTTGTCTTTTTCATTGTGTACACATTTCAAACATGAGAATGTAGGATTATTCCACTCTTAACTGCAAACAGGGTTTTGCTAATAGCAGTTTTTTACATTAACAGCAGTGACATGTATGAAAGGAGATTTCTACAATGGCTAAATAATTATCATTGTAAAACTTTTTCAGATGTATGAATGACCTGAATTTATGTGAACATAATGTCTGAAAGCGTGTGTGTGTGTGCGTGTGTGTGTGTGCCTGATGCATGGAAGGCCTGCTGTGTTGTGAATTCGAACTCTCTGAAACACTGAGCTGCCGGTCAACAGTTTGTGTGTGACTCTTTTTACTGGAACTATTTATTTCTCATAACCATCGAAAGTAAATTTAATCTGTTTCATAAACAGTCTGTGCAGCAGTCATTCTTTGAAGAGTTATTACCAATTAAATGAATATAGTAATTCTGAAAAGTAATTCATTTTATTCCAAAAAACAGTAACGGTTCTTTCAACAAAACAGCAAAACACAAGCAATCACTGAGAATACATTTCCATTAATATCTCTATAAAAATAACCAGGAACCATTTTACAAAAAAAACTTTTGTGCAATTTTGACCTGGAATGTCTATTAAAACTGACTTTAAAGCTTAATACATTTACACAAGTCTTATTGAAGGCACAGCTGGTACAAGGCTTAAAGGTACAGTGCATTAAAAAAAAAAGCATGAAACTATACAGAGATTTTAAAAAAACATTCACAGTAAAAGCAAAATGGGACAAAATGAAGACTTATGCATAATTTTAGCGTGCTGGCTAGCAGGTGCTCTGCTAGGAGTCAATGAAAGATTCACCTCACATGGCCACACTGCTCGCTCAAACAATCTAGTTCTTTAATAATGTATATCAACTATTTTAAAAAATCTAAATATTATCCTGAGAGAGCCATGTGTCCCTCATCATACATTTCCCATCAACCAAATTACACAATTGGGTTGATTAATGAAACGCAGCCAATGATCTCACAATAAATTGTTCACATTTGTACATTTTGTACATTTTCTTGCAGAGACTAAGATGAGAAGATTGATACCACTTTATTTTTGTGAGTCAAATATGAAGTTACAGCCAGCAGCTTGGTATCCTGAGTACGCCAGATGGTTTGTTACACAGAACAATGTGGAAAGTCATAGTCAGAAACTGTTTTGAAACTGTTATTAGACACTAAAAAACATTATATTGTTGTGTATTCCATTCAAAAAACAAAGTGTAAATACTAGACAATGTGGATTTACAGAGTTTTTGTATAACTACAAATTGTCGTTTTTACACTTCAGTTTTCACACAGATAATGTGTTCATTATTGAGATTTTAGTTGCTAGTTTTTAGATTTTGTCCCCATCAGACAGAGCAAGGCAAGCTGTTTCTCCATTTCCAGTCTTTATGCTAAGATAAGCTAATTGTCCCGTGGCTGCAACTTCTATTAAGCTTACAGACAAGAGAGTGATATCAATCTTCTCATCTAACACCAACTCTCTGTAAGAGAGCAAATAAGTATATTTCCTTCATTTGTATGTAAGCATGAAGAAGATTTATTTATTTAGAAGCTGTACTTAAGTCTATTAAGTGAAATATCTTCTAGATTACAAATATAAAGCCTTTTGGCTCAGCAAGGTCTTGTTATCTTATCTATCATAATTATAGACAAGGACTTCCCAAGATCTACATTGTTTGAGTCAGTGGTGTGGATATTGACATTAGTCAGGGCAGTGGGGGGTAGAAATAACATTCATGAAATGGCAACCAGTCTGTATCAATGGAATGAGATGAGATTTAAACTGAAATGAGAAATGTGACTGATTTTACATCCTGAAAATAAGAAAACACCAAACACAGATATAAAGAACATGAGCAGTTGACCTTTAGTGAACACACAATGAAATGTCTAATGCAAATGCTCTACTCAGAGAGCAATGCTTCAAAGTGAAGCTCCTGTTTCTTCATATGATAAATGCAAAGGAACAGGTTTCAGATGAAAGTGTAATTTCACTCCAAGAAAGTCAGACTTCTGTGTGGTTCATCATCAGAGTTTAAGGCTGATTGGCTTGGTCCTTATCTGTGCTGATGTGGCCTAGCTCGGCCTGGTTTGGCCCAGTTCGCTCTTGGAGGTCGAGCTGGTATCAGGACTTGTGGGAGCTGGAGGAGAGCAGGAGAGGAGAGGGAGCGTCCACCATGGGTAAAGGCACAGGGATGGGTCCATTCAGCAGTGTGGGGAACTGCAGCGGGACAATGAGAATTAAAGGTGGAAAACACAGCTGATATTTAAAGGCCCAGTGTGTAATATTTAGTAGCACCTAGCGGTGTAGTTGTAGATTAGAACCCCCTCGCCTCACCCGTTCCAAGTGTGTAAGAGGAAAAAATGTTGGCTGCAAAAGTCTTGGAAAAAATGCAAAAGGCCCTATCAAGAGCCAGTGTGTGGTTTATCTGTTCTGGTCTACAGTAGAAACATGGTGGACTCCGCAGAAGAGGACCTGCTCCTTCTGTAGATAAAAATGTCTGATTCTAAGGTAACAAAAACACAACGTTCTTATTTTCAGGTGATTATACAATAATGAAAACATACATATAGATATTATGTTTTCAATAATGCCAATAGATCCTCCTAAATGTTACACACTGGACCTTTAACCCTTGGCGTACTATAAATATGATAATAGAAACCTGGAATTTTGCAGCCCAATTTCCCATTTTAGAACACTTTGGCACCCAAGGCAAAAAAAACAAAGGCGTTGAAGCTGACTGTAAAGATATGATATAAAAATGAATGGGATTTTAAGAATATTTTGATTTTAAGAATTTTAAAAAGAGATGTGCAACTTTTGGTATTTACTATTCAAGTTCCTGTATGAAGAATTAGTTTCGTAATTATAGAATCTCACAAATTATTTTGATGGCATAATGTAAAAAAATAGACAATTGGAACACTCAGATTTTGATACCACCACTACATGTTTAAATTCTTCATAGGGGCTTTACAGAGAATTGATGACTTTAGTCATTCTGACCTTACACTGATTTAAACTATATGGTAGTTTAAAACAGAATATATTGATTTCTTGATCATTGATGGAAGATTGATATATAGTAATCCCACTACCAATTCTATGCAAATGATGTAACATCAATGATGATAACAGTAATGTCAAGGACAGTCAGTGCTTTCACTTACATAAGCAAAAAATAAATTAATGTTCTGTCTAAATGTTGAAAAGATTGTAAAACCCCCTAATTGTGATTTTGGCCGACATAAATAAAATGTATCTTGACTTGAGCTTTTTGAATGCTGTGACAAGCTTGTGGCATCACATGATTTCTCTATTTTCTACAGCTCTCTAGTCTGCCTGCTGCTGCATCACAGGAGGAGAGTGTGCTCTTGCTTATATTACCCCTTGGGGACTTGGCAGCACACCAACGTTGTGGGGACCAGCCGGCGTTGTGGGGACGAAAACACTGGTCATTAGATGCCTAACAGTTTATTTTCAGGCTGTGTGTGTTTGTGTCAGAGTTGACATGGGTAGGAGGGGCTCCCAACCAACCAGCCCTCTCCCTTTACCCCCTAGCCAACAGGAAGTTGCCCCCTCTTCTTGTCCACACCAGAACGGAAACATCTGTAGCTTATTTTGAAACCCTGGCACACTGTGAATCACACATACACCACCACACACACAACTGTATGAAAACAGCTATCGAGGTAAATCTGCGGTGTGAAATGAAAGATCCTGTAGTTAGGAGGGAGGGGCTTGCTGTGAATAGATATTTATAAGCAGACAGACATTTTGTATCTGTCACCACCAGAGTAAGCCACTGTTTCCTCTGAAAGGTCAGTCTGTCCTTTTTACATAGGACTGTCAGACTTGAAACCTTTAGAGCTTACTGTAGAACACATTTTACATAATTATCCACCAATGGTAGACCAAGTTGGAACTGACATTTTCTCTCAGTATTGTTTGTGTGTGTAACTACAGTGTTTTCTAGCATTCCTATACTTGTGAGAACCAAGTCAGTTCATAAATATACAGTAGAAAGATAAGGAAAATCCACCAAGGTGAAGACATTCTAGTAGTCTCTCTCTTCTTCAGATTGGAACATCCCAAACATTACCTGAAAGAGGGGGGCGTGGCTCTGCAGCCGGGCAGGGCTGAGGGGTCCCACTGGACTCAGGCTGGACCAGAATTGGATATTGGAGAGCAGAGGACTGGGAGTGAGCAGCAGACCAGACGGAGTCTACATTGACAAAACCCAAAATGAAACGTCAGAGGATAAATACACTGAGATGGAAATGATGGTGTTTATTCTGGCAAGAGGTCCACAGAGCTGTACATAGTCTGCGGTGAAGTTGTCATATCATTCAGTCTCACCCAGAGCTCAAAGCCAAGTCTGCCCTCTAGTGAACTCACATCTACCAGGCAGACTGACTTGGCAGACTAACTCCATGCAGGTCAGGAAGCTCCACTCATACAGAATTCATGGGATCTATTTTCTCCGTCTCGTCTTTCTTCTGTCTCATAAGGCCAGTTTGGTTTTCTCTCTGGTTCTGGCATGAGAATATAAGACTGTTCTATCACAACAGGCAGAAACTAAAAAGTTCAAGAACAGTTTTTTCAGTGTGTTTGTGTTTACATTATCACTGCATCATCAGATTTTTTGTCTTTTTGCAATGTTTAACATAGTGCTGTATGCCTAATTCTGCTAAAAGTCAAGGAAATCTTTAAACCCCCAGGTGACCTAGGGGTTTTCATGACCTTTGCTGCAAATCATTTCTCATCTCTTTTCTCCCCTTTGGTCATCTGTCTACTATTGACTATATTATTAAAGCATAAACTACTGTTTTTAATGGCAGGAAGCTGTGTCAAACTCTTAATTGTTCTGAATTCTAAAATATTCTCATGATGGATATGTGGATACTTAACCAACAGCTCAGGTGTTCCTTGTAAAAACTTCATCATACAAAATGTTCAGTGATGAGCGAACAGTTTAGCATACACTTTTATTTTCCGTCAATTATGAACTGTACACTCAGCAGCCTATCATTGCTCAGTCTGGATAAAAGCTGAAAGCCTGAATGTAGTCAGACTGTCCTGGTTTGGTCAGTGTGTTCTTGCCAGTGAATCAGGAGCTTCAGGAACATATGGCTTCACTTATGAACCTCCTCCCTCCCTTGCCTCCTCCCCTCTTTCCGCTCACCTCTTTCCATCTCCTCCCTGTCTACAAGCTTAACTTTCTTCGTCCCCCAAAACACATCATCCTTCTCAGTCATTCCCTTTTCCATAACTTTTTCCTCACCTGAAACCACCTTTATTTACAGAAGGACTATGAGTGAGTTCAGTGGTGTTAATACATGTGTTATGTGTCATGTTTTACCTGTGCGGTGAGGAACGCAGGGGTCAGGGACCCTGAAGGCAGCGCCGGGCTGTTGAGAGCAATGGAGACGAGGTCACTTCCTGTCAGGAGGAGAGAGGAGGCAGAGATTTCCAAACCTTTGGGTTTCCTGCTTTTCAAAGGCACACTGTTGGCCAATCCCCTCCTCTCTGGCGTCGTCGTGCTCTTTGACCTCACTCTCTCCCTCTGACCAGATGACAGGTTTAGAGGTTGAGCGCTTTGCTCTAACTCGCCAGTCTCTGTGCTCTGGCTCCGCCCCCTCCACAGTGTGTGGGCGGGGCTTTGTGGCGGGGAGGAGGAGCACGAGGAAGAGCAGGCCTGCTGAGAAGATGGCCTGGAGGAATGGAAGGTCTCATTCGAGGATGGGGGTGGGGTGGATGGTAGGGAGGAGTGGCCGCGGTTGGTTATGAATCGGATGACAGAGGAGCTGTCGTCATGGCGATCAGATCTGGGCTCCATCTTGATCGGCTGGGGTGGTTCTAGGGAGTGTTGCAGGGAGCTGACAGTGAAGGAGGAGTACAGGCCGGAGTGGAGGTATTGGTTTCTCCCACCCCCATCCTCGTCTTCAGGTTCAGGCTCTGACGTCACACCCCCACTTTCCTCGCTGTTGCGGCCAGACTCCACCATCGCAGGGTCCATCTTCAGAATCTCAGGAAACGACACAAACTTGTAGACAAACTTCTGGCCAATCACCTTCTTGATGATGTTCTGCAAAGGAAACAAGATGTGATTTCTTATTTTAAACGCTTTTTGTACTGTAGTGGGTATCATGGCACTATAGACAACATATTATCAAACCGCTAAATATTTCAGTAGTTTTGGAATGTTGTGTACTTTGTCATAGTAGTAGCGCAGGGCTCTGCTCAATTTGTCATAGTTCATGTTGGTTTTGTTCTTGCGCAGCCCCCACAGCTTGGCCACTTCCTCAGATTTAAGCAGCTTAAACTCGCCATCATTGGACGTCCAGCAGATGAGATGTTTGTGGTTTTGGTCGAGCAGCAGCTGCAGCAGGAACTGCCAGAGTGTGATGGAACTCTCCATGACGGGATGACACCAGAGACACAGGCGATCTGCAGAGGAGAATCAAGACTTAATAAAATCAGTTCAATGACCACGTATTGCTTTGTACTGGAAGTCAGAAGAACATCAAAGACATATTACTTTACAGCACGAATCAGCAAAAGAGCAATGTCCAGAGAAGGAGAGTTTTTGGTAAAAGCAGATGGTGGAAGAAAAGATAATATTGCAGATTTGTCAATATGAGCGACACCTTTGACATTACACATAGTTCTTTGATCCACTGTAATTATATTGTAGTATAGGTATAGGTACGACACAGAAGACATAAAAGGAAGGGAGAAAAGAAAGAAGGAGGGTAGGTGCGCAGGGAGGAGCAGGATTTGTCAACGTCAACATAAATTCAACTTTTCTCTGATGCAAAGTCCACTAAAAACCACAATCATAACAGTGCCAAACAACAATGCCCCCCCCCCCCAACCCACAAACTGACAACAACACAAACATGTAAACAACACCAAAGGCTCTACAGCACAGCCCGCTTAAATAATCTATATCTCGCACGTATGAACTCATGCTCTTTTGTCTAATATACTCGCAGACGTTGGCTGCCGTCCAAAGCAGGATGTCAGCTGTAGTAAATACAAGAGTGAGTGAAGCTGCCATTGTCATATACCTTTAAGGAGAGGTCAAATTTAAAGTTGTATTTTTTTGTAGTTTTGCCTGCAAAAAATTAAGAGACGGTTTAATTTGCAGCCCGAATTACACTTTTAAAAAACTGCTGCTGTATTTATTGTTATTTCAGCTTTATGTTTGTGTCTCTCTCTTGTGTGTGTGACTGAGAGAAAGCGAGAGATAGTGGGCTAGACATTGGTTGGCTTTTTGATGTTTCCATGGTGATAAAGCAGGATGTGGTCAGTGACCTTCTGCCAAGACAAGCACGGGTCCAACTGACATGTTTACCTGGAAACGGCTGACAGTCTGTGAGCGTCTGTCTGTCTGTCTGTCTGTCTGTCCTTGTCTTTTGTGTTTCCTCTCTCAAATTAATTTACAAGGTGCCTTATTAGTAGGAAGTACAAAATGACTTACTGCGGAAACAAAAACAACAAATAACTCACTATAACCAGATTTAATTTGCAACCATGACGATATGACAGTAGAGACTTTGCAGTTGCTCCAGAAATCCCCATGGCAACCACATCTGCCTCAATAGTGAAGAAAGAGGGGAGCTGAGGGCCTCAAACATTGCCTCCAGAAGTGATGGTTACTCTTCCTACTTTCATAATAACAAGATAATAACAACATACGGTTCAGAAACGTCAAAATATTCAACCACTAATTCAATATAAAAACAAAGTATGCATCTCTCTTTTTTTCTCTGTCTTTCTAAAAGGAAACCATCCAGCAGAGGGGGGAAAGTGTGTGTGGTGCAAACAATGACCCACCACCACAAACGCACACACAAACGAGTATCCTCGCTTCCCTTTTCCTGCAAGGGTGTGTGTGTTAATTGATGGAAGAACTGTAGTGCTGTCTGTCTGTCTTAACGAGGACTTCCTGTCATTCAGCTTCAGGGGCGTCTTCCTGGAGAAGGCCTTCCCTCTGTGGGAGGTAGGACGTCCTGTTACTCCACCAGGAACACACACACTCAAACTCACACACGTATGGTTCTTTATTTGTTTAAAGATCTTTTTGTTAACACAGCAGATGCAGAAGTTGTCTTTGCAAGAGAAACATCTCAACGCACACACACACACACACACACACACACACACACACACACACACACACACACACACACTTTCACAGATCCACGACAACATATGGAGAATGCATCTATGCCCTGTTCTATCTGTCTCCTATGTTCACCCTCTGACATTTCACTTTTAACAAGTCCGGGCAGGAGAGAAACAAAGCAGGAGGAAATGTTGTTGTATGGAATTTCAGAATAAAAGCAGTCTGGCCCTCAGTGTTACAGCTTAGAGTTTGACAGTCTGTGAACTCTCTCTCCTTGTGAGTGTAGTTCTAACAAGTTATACATAACCCATACATGAACATTCTCCCTCCTCACATGTGAATCTATCAGATATAAACTCCACTGTACCCTTTGGACACTCAAGATCTTTAATCCAACAGAAACAAACCAAAAAGCTGCACATGATTCTACATCTATTTTCTCTGGGGCTACTTATTTCTTATTTTTGGAAGTATGTGTGTGTGTATGGAGAGGGAGGGGGGTTCTGCTGGAACTCAAATGGTTCTTTGTTTTGCCCCAGTGACTCATTTTCAAGATGTTGTCTGCTGCCAGCTTCAATCCGGAAGCGCATGGCAATTAGTCTGCGAGTTCCAGACAAACCAGAAAGTCTACTACTAGATTTTTAAAGGAGACACGGCTAATTTTCCAAAGCAGCCGACACACTAACCTCTTTTCTGTCTTTTTTTTTTCAAATGTAGCCAAACAAAATTGGGGCAACTTAACGCATGTGTGTGTGCCAAAGAGGAGGACGCATAAGGCTTTAACCCCTTTTACGCGCAGCTTTAACGCTTTTTACGCACAGGTTTAACACTTTACGCGCGGCTTTAATGTGGTTTTTAACTTGACAGTGAATGTCTGAACCTGATCAGCTTTCAACAAATACAAAAACACCCAATATTAGTCCACTTCTGTCTCTCTGTTATGCACGAACGCGTCTACAAAGTTGTAAGTAGAAGGAAACATAAACTTGCACCTACCCTGCTGTGGATGGCCGCTGCTCCTCTGTCCGTCTGCCCCGCGTGATGTGTGTGTGTGTTTCTGTCTTAAAACGGGGTGAGTGTGTTGTGTTGAGGTTCCATGCTGCTGCTGCTGCTGTCTGAAAGCGGATCCGCAGCTTTTCTCTCTCCTCAGAGCAGGAAGTCGGGACGCGCAGACGGAGAACCGGCGCACTTCCTTTGGCGCAGTATTCCCGTCTGTGTAAACACACACACACACACACACACACACACACACACACACACACACACACACACACACACACAGAATCTCTATTTCCCATAAACACACCCCCTTTTTTAAACCACTCTCTCTCACGCGCAAACACACACACTTTCTCTCTTTCAGACCTGCACACACACACACACACACACACACACACACACACACACACACACACACACACACACCTTAAGTCGTGCACTTAAATAGCCTACAGGCAGACGCGCTCATTTTCCTACACGCACACACACACAAATATTGTAATTCCGACTACACTGAGCCAACTGACAACTGACGTCACCCTCTTCCTGCTCACCGGGAGGGGTTCCTGTTCCTACACACACACACACACACACACACACACACACACACACACACACACACACACACACACACACACACACACACACAGTGCAGCAGGTTAAAGCAAAGAAAATGAATCCGTCTGTTAAGGGGGCACACGGATCTCTTCTACAAAATCTATATTTAATTAATTAAACTGCCTGAATTTGGGTATTTTCTTCTCCTTATCTATTTTCTAAATGTTTTCCTCTCTGGCTTTGCAGCCCATGTATACTTCATACAGAATTAAGCTGCTTATGTTCTTATAGAATTTAAGACATATCATTGGCTGCAAGAAAAAAAAATCATGCAGGTAAATATTCTGTTTTTAATCAGTGGAGAGGTTCACTACCACAGACACTTTACAAAGACACTTCCAAAGATTGTCTATGTTTGAGATGATGAACCAAACAACTGTATAAATGTGGCCCACATGGACGCATGGATGCAATTACTGGCTCCTAGGAAAAATTTGGCATAGATATTGGGTCTATTCCATACTGTGGAAACAACACATGGACTGTGTGCTTGACATAAGTCAGACACATCCTCTTCAGCTCTGCAACTCTGCAACTATGGACTATTTGTGCATATCAATGTGGGCTCAAAGGCCATGTCAACATCAGATGTGTTGATAATATCCTGCAGTTTACAAGAAAACGTTGCATCTTTAAACGGGTACTTGTGCGGCTTTTTTAGGTAACTCACACGAGACAGATAAAAATAGAAAGGTCAAAGTCCATGCAGCAGATAGCTGATATCCTGACTTTACACTGTATTGGCCAATCTCCTACAATCCTGGATTGCACATTTCCCATAATGCAGCTCAACTGAATATTTTCTGTTGACCGTCCTTCTGTCCAGCTTGTAGCACAGGCTTTCTGAATGGCAATCCCCTCACGTAGCCTACTATAAACTGAATTTAATGTCTAAAATTAGTCTTACGACAGGTTTTATATATTGTCAACTTAACCTTCAAGAAAATAAGAATAGAAAAGCAGAATCACCAAACAGTTCTCTCTCTTTTCCAATTATTTATTTAACTAGTCTTAATACCCCTGACATCAATTTTTGATACCAGATAAACGAGGCAGAGTGAGACATCATACTTTATTTCCACCTCTCTGGTTGAGCTTCCGGTTCCTTTCGCCTCCTTGGCCCCGCCCACGTCTTTGAAACGTCAACAGCGGCAAACTTCAGGCTCCCTGAAGGGAAAATGATCACGGCCACTGAGGAGCCGCAATGGAGGAAAGTCAATTCCGTTTCAGGAGTGACACCTCGGGCCAGACACGGACACCGAGCAGCTGCAATACGGGAGCTGATAATTGTGTTCGGTGGTGGAAACGAAGGGATAGCGGAGTACCTCCATGTTTACAACACTGGTAAGCTAACGTTAGCTGGACGCTAACTAGCAGGTTAGCGGCTAATGTTTTTAGCATGCGCAGGAGTAAAAACAAAAACACTTTTTAAAGAAAAATAAAAATAAACGAGCTTTTGCTGTTTATATAAAAGTACATCAACACTTTTTAGGATCCTTTATGATGCGGTATTATGGAGTTGTTATTCTAAACTAGCCACTAACTTGGGCTAGCGAGCTAGCTTCAGTAACTATTATCTGTTGTAATCGACAGTACGGTGGCGGTGCTGTAGTCTGGTACAACAAAACAAAACGCACACTAGTGGGGGTGGACGTCGTGTTATTAGTTTGGGCAGTGTATGGTTAACTGAAAACAACTAAACTGTAATGAACAAGTGTGACAAAGCTACACAGCTAAACGTAGTAACTTATTATTATTAGTATTCTGTAACTTAGGTACCATTGGTGTTTAAGCAGAACTTGAGCCTGATATTTGTGTTCAGTTATGAATGTGTTATCACTTTGATCCGAATGATAACGCTCAGTAAAGTCTACTGGTGTGCTGGTGAGGTGGTGTTTGAGGTAATATTTGTCTAGCTACTGCAGAACAGCACTGTTTGCACACGTTGTTTTCCAATGCAGTGTATAAAATGTCTAAAAGGCAGCATTCACCAGGATGTCCTGTCTGTCTTTCAGTCTCCAAGCAGTGGTTTCTGCCTGCGGTGAGAGGGGACATCCCGCCCGGCTGTGCTGCCCATGGCTTCGTCTGTGAGGGCACTCGAATACTGGTTTTTGGTGGCATGGTTGAGTTTGGGAAATATACCAACAGCCTTTATGAACTTCAGGTAATGCCCGTGACGTTTGGTGATCACTGGGGATTCAAACCCTGTTGCTGTCACAAAAAGAATTCTTAAGTCTTGACTTTGGTCCCGTGTGGCTCAGGCTAGTCGCTGGCTGTGGAAGAAGCTGAAGCCCAGAGCACCCAGGAATGGCTCCCCTCCCTGCCCTCGGATCGGACACAGCTTAACTCTTGTGGGTAACAACTGTTACCTGTTTGGAGGGCTGGCCAATGATAGTGAAGACCCAAACGGCAATGTACCAAGGTAAGTACCAAGAAACGTAACTGCAACTGGAGTTTGTTTACGCCAGGATTTTTTAGAGATGCATAAAAACAGGTGCAGACTGATTGTTTCTGTCCATAAGTCCTGGGTCTTCTAGTATTTAATGTAGGGCTGGAACTAATAATTATTGTACATTTTTTTATGTTTATTTTTCTTATGTCCTATTAAGGCTTAAGTTTTATTCCACTGATAAAATAATAACTGTAATAAGGCATGCAAGTTCATCAATAAAAACACAAATGAACGCAACCAAAAGACTCTCCTAAACCTAAGCCTTTGACTGGCTCCAGTGAATTTTGAGCCTTTTACAACAGTATATACCAACAGTTTGAAGTATAACCGCTATGTAAGAGGTAGTTTCATAAATTAGTTTGACCGTCTTAGGTACATGGGTGACTTCTATGAGCTGGAGCTGCAGTCGGTATCAGGGGCAAGAAGCTGGGGCATCCCAGAGACAAAGGGGGGTGGTCCCTCAGCTCGGGAGTCCCACACCTCGGTTGCCTACACTGGCCTCGGCTCCCCGAAGCTCTACATCTTTGGAGGGATGCAAGGTTGCCGGTTAGACGACCTCTGGCAGCTTGACCTCGGTATGACTTCCTTTTTTGACAGATTATATCGACTTCAGAAAGTTTCAGGAAGGAGAATTCTCGCATTCCTTGAGTTGCTACTGTACCTTGAATTAAAAACAAAGCTGTGGTATACTTATTTGCATTTTTTGCTCTGTAAATAAGAGCTCTTTGGAATATTTAAATTGTCTTATCATGATTATTTTACTTTCCTCAGATACAATGGTTTGGTCGACGCCTCAAACCAGGGGTTCCACGCCGTTTCCCAGAAGCCTTCACTCTGCCACAGTCATTGGAAACAAGTAAGAGATCCTTCATTGTCAGTGTCATATCTCTTTTAAAGCGGATGTCAAACTACAGTGTGTCCCCTCTGTCTGCAGGATGTATGTGTTTGGTGGCTGGATTCCTGTTCCAGAGTCAAACAAACACATTGATTTAGGAACTGAATGGATCTGCACTAACTCCTTAAGTCTGCTCAACTTGGGTCAGTACATTTCTCTACAAATATCCCACACTCTTATCAGAGTTTTGGGATCTCTCAACAGGGTGACTCCCCAGAGAGAATCTTTAATGGTTTAGTTGTGAAAAATGTGTGGTTTTTAACATCAGATTTTGTTAGCACCACTTTTAAAACCACTGCTGTGCTTGAGAGGAAACTTAAAGATACGATGCGAGCTCACTGCTGCCCGGTTTTCCTGACACAGACACTATGAGCTGGCAGAATCTGGGCCCAGAGCAGGAGGACGATATTGAGTCCCAGCTGCAGAGCCAGGGACCACAGAGTGACGACCCGTATGCCTGTTGGCCCAGAGCCAGGGCCGGCCACTGTGCTGCCTCTGTCGGGTCCAGGCTTTACATCTGGAGCGGCCGTGATGGATACCGTAAGAGCTGGAACTACCAGGTGTGCTGCAAGGACCTCTGGTACCTGGAGACTGGTGAGAGCTGAGAGCTGAGAAGGAGCTGTTAAAAAGACTTTAAGTTATCAGTCATTAAATTTCTTATTTACTTTGACTGTAACATTTTAAAAGCAAGTGACTCATGTCAGTGCTAACAAAAAGTACAGTCACTCAAAAACATATTCTGTATTCTGTCCTCAGACCGACCAGCCACCCCAGAGGCAGTGTTACTCATCAAATCCACAGTCAGCATGCTTCATGTGGCGTGGCGCCCTCTGGCAGCGGCAGACTGCTACATCCTTCAGATTCAGCCTGTGTTTCCTTCCAGCACTGCAGCCAGTGATCCACCATCCAAACCAATCCATCCAAGTGGAGCAGATGGACCGGAGGGGAAGAATGAAAACCATGCAGGTAAGGAGAGCACATATTCATGTATCTATAGCATCATTGTGGGGAACATTCTAAGGATATTTCTGACACTACAGTAAAAAAAATATTTTTTGTTATAAATTTGCATAACTCTCCTTTCTCTAGGAGTCCAGTCCCATCAACCTCAAACTGAAGGAATCCCTAATAAAGAAGCAAAGGCATCCGCTCAGGTAGAGTTGACTTATTTAACATGCTTAAATCTGTAAATAAAGATTATTACATGTAATAACACACCCCTGTTTTAGCATTAGATACACTGAACAGACCAGCAGAGCAACCACAGAGATGTCCGTACTTAATTTGAACACACAGAAGTAGGTTTTTTTTTTTTTTTGAACGGTTTCATCTGACACATGTTTTCCCTGTAGATTTTTTTCAATTTGAGAATGACGCCATTTGAACTGAAATTGTGCGTCTGTTCGAAGCCTTCACCTCTACAATAAACAAAAGAAGCTGTGTAAAAGAACTAAATCCTTTTTTAGCAAAGTTTTAAGAGATAAGATTTGGCAAAGTTGGTAATACTGCATTGAGAAGGAGCCCCGCTG